GGGGGGGGGGCGATCTTTCTTCTGAATAATGAATTTAAGTCTTGCCAGGATGTTTTGTGCTCAAGTGGTGCACAACACCATAATTAGTTGTTGTACTTGTGGTAAGATTTTTCTAACCCCAAGACAATTCTCTATCCAATATGGAAGGATGTTTGCATTTTGAAAATGATATGTTACATGTGAAAAAATGTTGAAGTGCATTTTTTAAAAGTATTTTGCGAGGTAATTAAAATACTCTTGGAACATATCGATATGAAGCATGATAACCAAGTTCTGTAGTCCTCAAATAAACAATTCATAAGTCTCTGAGCGCATGCTAAACATGTAAAGAAAAATAGAAACAAACAAAAACAAGTTCTGTGGCAAATTAGGTTTATAATTCTATAATAAGGAGACACATAGAACACTACAGCTGTATTTATCTTTAAGAACTTAATCTAAACATTAGGCATGAGCATTTCAGATTTGGAGGGCTTATTTTTACAGGCACTTATTTAGGTATCAAATTTTATGACATTCATCATTGTCTTATATTAAGATGTACTTTGTACGTGGAAGTGGCGGCCAATGGTATGTTTGGTGCTGGGAAAGATGGCTTAATAAATGCTCCGGACCCTGCACGGGAATACACATTATCCATGGCTGAAATTGCTGTTTTTGACGCTGCAGTTTACGAAGTGTTAATGGACCTGACTGTTATTATAGACCTGGCCAAGGTAGGAGATAAGTTTCAACTGCAAGAACAGTTGAAAAAGTATCTTCCCTGCTGTGGAATCACTGCATGAAATCCCTAGGGGGGTTTCGACAACCGTTACTAAGGCTCTGATTATTGAAAATGTCGGGGATACTCGTTGTCATGCTTAGAGGTGTAAATCAAGGATTTTAGGGGGTTCAGGATGAAATGYTACTATTTTCAGCTGTCAAGTGTCTTTTAAGGTGTACTTGAAGAAATAATAATAGAAAAAASTGCTCTTGTTTCCATTTTTCACCGCTCTCTGACGAGTTAGGACTACTTGTGCGGGCTCCTTTCCCAATAATAATAATAATAACTATAATAATAATAATAATAACAAGAAGAAGAAGAAGAAGAAGAAAAATAATAATAACTTTATTTAAGTGTCAAATGTATTTAGCACTACTAAATGTGCTAATTGGGGACACTGTAAATCAATAAACAAATATTTCAAATATAACATAAACTATGAAGAATCCCAACTGGTTGGAGGCTCGCGAGTTGGCTATTTACGCAACGCAGTCGAGGAGTTGAACTCGGGGTTACTGAGAACAAATCCAGATAGTGGTAGGGTGGAGGATTTGAACTTTGGACCTCCAGATTTCAAATCCAGCGCCCCTCCCAAACAGCGGCTGTTAATCAAGCCCTTGGAGGTCAAATAAATCTCGACCACGCCCAGATTGGTCTCCTTTATGTGTTTATTTCAAATTTTCTGACGAGCATCCAGACCTTTTCAAATGGGAGTTCCCCCCCCCCCCCCCCCCCGGGTTAGTACCTTATTCTTAATCGGCTACTTTACAACAAGTTTACATAACT